TTTCTCACCCTGCTTCAGCCACACAGGTCTATTGCTGCTGTTCCTCCAACACCTGCCATCTGGCAAGGGCCTTCTTACTGCATCATCCTACAGCAGAAGGTGGAAGGCAGAAGGGAGGTCAGAGGGGGGAGAGAGCGAGAGAGAGAGAGAGAGGAGAGAGAGAGAAACACAGCAGACATGGTCCTGCCTCAGAAAAGCCACAGGTTGTTCCTTAGGCTTGGAATGCTCTTGCCCTGCATAAACTCATGGCTCCCTTCCTCACCTTTAAGTAACTGTCCATGTGATACCTTCTCAGTGACTGTCCTATTTTTGACATTATCCACAAGTTCCACCTCTCTACATGATTAACTCTATGAGGGTGGGGAATATTGTCTGTCTTGTTCCACTGCCAAATCCACAGTGCCTGGATTAGTGACTGGATTATAAGAAGATGTCTGTATTAGTCAGGGTGTTTGTATTAGTCAGAGTTCTCCAGAGAAACATAATCAATAGAAATATATATATGAGATTTATTATACAGAATTGGTTCACACAGTAATGGAGGCTGGCAAGTCCCAAGATGTGCAGAGCTGCAGATCCAGGAGAGCTGACAGTAGATGTGCAGAGCTGACAGTTCCAGTCTGAGTCCAAAGGCCTGAGAACCAGGAAAGCCAATGGGGTGGTTCATGTGCAGAGGTTGGCAGGCTTGAGACCCAGGAAGAGCCATGGTTTCAGGATGAATCCAAGTGCAGGAAAAAAGCTGATGTCCCAGCTTGAAGGCAGCCAGACAGGAGGAGTTCTCTCTTACTCAAGGAAAGGTCAGCCTTTTTGTTCTATTCAGACCTGTAATATTTAGATGAAGCTCACCCACATTCGGGAGGGCCATATGCTTTACTCAGCCTACTGATTTAAATATTAATNTGTCTTCTTTTATAGGGTTAAGATTGGCATCTGGCCTAGCCTAGGAAGATGGTCACAGTGTCCCATTCTGGGTACAGCTTGCTCATGGGAACAGAGACTTGGGGAGACAGAAACCTTGGGCTAAGGGAGGGAAACAGTTACAATGTTATACTCATGGTACAGCCTGCTCAGCCGGCTCCTGGGAACAGACACCTGGGGAGATAGAACTTAGAGGAAGGAAACAGAGAAGCAAAACCGAAGTGTGGGAACTTCGTATAAGTCAGGTTCTCAGTTCCAGGGACCTAACAATGACAGACACTGGACCAAGCTCTTTAGCTGCATGTCAGAAACCCTGTGAAGAGGGTACTATTACGTCCTATTTTACAAAGGAGAAGAGAGACTTAGAGGATTTAATATGTACAATATCACACATCTGGCAAGACTAAGCCCGGATTTAAAATCTGACCCATCTGGGCATTGCTGGTCTTTATGCTGTGAGACCTTTTAAATGTTGGGCATAAAGCAGGCGCTCGTCTGTGTGAGTCGAATACATGTCAGAGAGGGATGTTTGCCTTAGGGCAAGAGGATGATTCTGGGGCATCCCGGACATTGGGAACCTGGGGGTTCCCTTTATACACAATCTCAGTCAGTCTCCTCC